TATATATAGGATTGCCATGACCCATCCAATGGAAATAAGATAATAATGTAAAAGGAAATGTGTTCTTACAATGCTCCTGGAAAGTCTGGAGAGTGGTTTCATTTGCTTTGATGATTGAAGTTTGAAATTAAGGCTGAAGTGTTTTTAATGCCCAAACAAACCTCCTCCTCACACAAAGGCCTTATGGCCTAGAAGGAATTCAATATCCATGTGCATACACAAATTGGATTTAGAACAAAGATGGTCTTTGTGCTAAGTAGTATTTTGAGGGACTTTGCAAGTGGGTTTGAAGCTATGTAAGTGTGTATCATGTTTAGACACATAAAATATATGCTAAGGAAGAGTGTCAGGGAGAAAAGTACAAGCATTATGGAAAAAGTGAACCTCATTCAGAATGCTCAGTTAAAAAAGAGATAAATCTACAAAACAAATCTTGGGGTTTTCCTGAAATGCTTTGATAATTATCCTAACTCACTATTTTGCTTAGAATATATAGATTTATCTAAAGCTACAATTTAATGCTGCTTCTTGTACAACTATTTGTATAACTGATACTAATTCAAGAAATAAAGCACATAATTAGAACAAGTCAAACGTAATGATGGATATTGCAAGATCCCTCTTTCACAAGAAGACAAGAATGAATAAGTATACAGATGCTAACGTTCATGGTATTTTTCAATAACCTCATATGCATGCAAAAGCTGGACAGTGAATAAGGGAGACTGTAGAAGAACTAATGCTTTTGAGTTATGGTGTTGGAGGAGAATACTGAAAGTGCCATGGGCTGCCAAAAGAACCAATAGATCCATTTTGGAAGAAGTGTAGCCAGAGTGCTCCTTGGAGGTCAAGATGGCCAAACTTTGTCTCTCATACTCTGGACATATTGTCAGGAGGGACCAGTCACTGGAGAAGGATATCATGCTTGGTAAGTTGGAGGGTCAGAGAAAAAGGGGAAGTCCCCCAATGAGATGGATTGGCCAAGTTGCAGCATCCAAGGACTCAAGTTTGGCAACAGTAGTGAGGTTGGCCCAGGATCGGGCAGTGTTTCATTCTGCTGTGCATAAGGTCACTGTGAGTACGTACCGACTCAATGGCACCTAACAACAACAACAAACAAATAGAGAAAAGATTGAAGATGTCAAAGATTTCAATTCATCTCATTGAGAGTCTTCCTCTTTTCTCAGACCCTCTACTTTACCATACATGATATCCTTCTCCAGTGACTGGTCCCTCCTGACAATGTCTGAAGTATGTAGGACAAAGTCTAGACATCCTGGCTTCCAAGTAGCACTTTGGCTGTATTTCTTCCAACACAGATCTATTTTACCTTTTGACAGTCCATGGTACTTTTGATATTCTTCTTCAACACCATAACTCAAATACATCAACTCTGGTTATTGAAAATACCATGGCTTATATCAAGCGCATTTTAGTCCTCACTCTGACATCTTTGCTCTTTAACATTTTAAAGAGGTCATCATGTGCAGCAGATTTGCCCAGTGCAATATGTCATTTGATTTACTCACTACTACTTCAATGAGTGTTGGTGGTTGATCCAAGCAAAATGAAGTAGTTGACAACTTCATTCTTTTCTCCATTTATATGGAGATTATTTATTGGTCCAGTTGTGAGGATTTTTGTTTTGTCTACATTGAGGGACAACCCATACCAAAGGCTGTAGTCCCTGATCTTCATAGAAAATCAATTAAGTATTTTAAGTCCTCTTGGCTTTCAACAAGCAAGTTTTTATCATTTACATATCACAGGTTGTTAATGAGCCTTCCTCCAATCCTGATACCACGTTTTTCTTCATATCATCCAGCTTCACTTATTATTTGTCCAGCAAACAGATTGAATAAGTATGGTGAAAGAATACAACCCTGGCACACACCTTTGTTCCCTTTAAACCATTTGATTTTCCTTATTCTGTTCAAACAACTATCTCATGATCTGTGTACAGAGATTCCTCATGAACACATTTAAGTGTTCTGGAATACTCATATTTTGAAATGTTGTTTTAGCTTGTCATGATTCACATAATTGAAAGCCTTTGCATTGTCAATAAAGCACAAGTAAACATCTTTCAGGTATCCTCTCCTTTTTGTCAAGATCCATCTGAAGTCAGCAATGATATCCCTCATTCCATGTCCTCTTCTGAAACCAGCTTGAACCTCTAGAAGTTCTCTGTCAATGTATGTTTGCAGCCATTTCTGTATCACCTTTAGTAATACTTTACTCGCATGGGCTATCGATGATATTGTCCAGTGATTTCCACATTCTATTGGGTATCCTCTCTTTGGAATGGGCACAAACACAGATTTTTTTCAAGTCAGTTGGCCAGGTAGCTGTCTTCCAAATTTCCTGGCATAGATGATTGAATGCCTGGACTGTCACATCACTTTGTTGAAAGATTTAAATCTGTATTCCATCATTTCCTGATGCCTTATTCTTTTCCAGTGACTTCAATGAACCTTGAACTTCTTCCTTTAGGATCATAGACTTTTGATTATATGCTACCTCTTGAAATGGTTGAACACTGACCATTTCTTTTTGTTACAACGATTCTGTGTATTTCTTCCATCTTCTTTTGATGCTTTCTTCATCATTCAGTATTTTGCCCATAAAATCTTTCAATACTGCAAGTCGAGGTTTGATTTTTTTCTTCAGTTCCTTCAGCTTGAGAAATGCTGAATGTGTTCTTCCCTTTCGGTTTTATAACTCCAGGTTTTTGCTCATTTCATTATAATATTTGACTTTGTCCTCTCAAGCTGACCTTTGAAATTTTCTGTTCCACTCTTGTACCTCCTCATTTCTTCTATTTTCTTTAACATCGCTATGTTGGTGAGCAAGTTTCAGAGTCTCTTCTGACATCCATTTTGATCTTTTACTTATCTCTTGTCTTCTCAATGACCTTTTGCTTTCCTCCTGTATAATGTTCTTGATGTCATCACACAACTATTCTGGTCTTTGGTCTTTAGTGTCTAATGCATCAAATCTGTTCAAATGATCTCTAAATGCAGGTGGGACATATTCAAAGCCATATTTGGGCTCTCATGGACTTGTTTTCATTTTCTTCAGCTTTAGTCTGAATTTGCATATGAACCATTGAAGGTCTGTTCCATAGTCTACCCTGACCTTGTTTTGACTGATGATATGGTGCTTTTCACCTTATCAGGTGTAGTCAATTAGATTTCTGTGTATTCCATCTGGTGAGGTCCATGGGTATAGTCATCTTTTATGTTGTTTAAAAAAGGTGTTTGCAATGAAAAATTCACTAGTCTTGCAAAATTAAATCATGCAATCTCCAGCATCATTTCTATCACCAAGGCCATATTTTCCAACTACTGATCTTTCCTATTTGTTTCTGCATTCCAATTGCCAGTAATGATCAATAAATTGCATGTTTGATCAATTTAATACTAAGGAAGTTGGTAAGATTCTTCAATTTCATTATGACTGGCTTTAGTGGTTGGTGATAAATTTGAATATTAACTGGTTTTCTTTGTAGGCACATAGATATTATGCTATCACAGACAGCATTATACCTCATGATTGCTCTTGATACGTTCTTTTTGATGATGACTGAGACATCATTCCTCTTCAATTTATCATTCCCAGCATAGTAAACCATTTGATCGTCAGATTCAAAATGGCCAATACCAGCCCACTTCAGCTCATTAATGCCTAGGATATTGATGCTTATACATTCCATTTAATTTCTGACAATTTCCAATTTTTTTCTAGATTCATACTTTGTACATTCCATGTTCTAATTATTAATGGATTATTACAGCTGTTCATCTTCATTTTGAGTTGTGTCCCATCAGCAAATGAAGGTCTCAAGGGCTTTACTCCCTTTGCAAGTGATTCAAGCTCATCAGCTATTCCTTAGAAACCCTACACAGTCACTAAGAGTCTAACTCAACTCCATGGCACTTCACAACAACAACAACATACTTGGTGTGGTACTGTCAAATCACCACACAGTTGGCAGTTCAAACCCACCAGAAGCTCCTTGGAAACCCTGTACAGAGTCACTAGAAGTCACAATTGACTCAATGGAGCTTAACAATAAGAACATTATAGCTGATTTTACTCTTAATCTTATACTTGTTATAATTTATAATTTTTATCTCCTTTAAAACATGGGGGTTTCAAAAAGTTTATGAAAAAATCATATTATCTTTCAATTCTATTTTTCCACAAACTTTTTGAAGTTCATGCTTGATATTTCATAATTTCCTACAAGGGTAAGTCAAAACGTCTTGCTACAAAATCATAGCAGCCTTATTCAAACAAAAAAATAATCTAAATGTAAAGCTACGTATTCTCAACATATTCTTCATTGAGGTCCATATATTTTTAAAGGTAGTGTTTCCATCTCTCTAACCATTCCCCAAACAATTCTGGGTTCTTTGATTTACACCATGTCAAAACAGCAGTTTTTGCATCCTGTAGGGACTCAAATAAAGTTCCTTTTAAACAAAAATCTTTTATTGATCTTACACAATAAAAGTGCTTTTATTCATCTTACCCTCATGCCTTCAAATCGGGATAAGGCTCTTAGCGGTCTTAAAGCTCGTAGTGTCCGTAGAGATTTGATGGCACCGAGTTCTGAGTAGCCAAGAGCATTGGCCACTAAGCTAACCAAAGAAACCTAAAAAGAAAATAAATCATTACTACCAAGAAATAAACTGTAATCTGAAGCAGAAGATTTATTATATATTCTCTCCTGCTAATGAAAACAAAGATATTCTATTTTGGCAGACTTCATCTTCCACATAGTGGGATCATCTTACATTGCTAGCCTTGTCTCATACTATTGTTTTCTTACTAGTGAAACCAGAGGGTTACCCCCCACCCATTTTTAATAAATATTTATGAAGCCGCTCCATTTAGATATTTTCCCTTATCAGACTATTTTAACTTGTGCATACACTACCAATAATTCAGGATTTAGTTCACAGGTCAGTTTCTTCGTGGCCCTGTGTTAAGGTTCACTGGTTAGATGTGATGTTGCTTTCCTGAATTTATATAGCATCTTGGCAATGTCTACTAGGGATATTTGCTTTGCAATATAGTCAGTTAGGTTTTGGAACAAAAAAGCATGAAAGGACAAGATCAGGGCTTGTGGATGGGGTAAGGCTTTCTAAGAAAATACTTGTAGGACAAGCCTTATTACCCTTGAAGAATGACAGCCAATTTGTTAAAATGGGGAAAAACCCAAAAAACCCACCCTTGTTGCAACTTTCCTTGCATTTTTCTCAGTAATGCAGTTTTTAATTTTCCTAACACTTTCTCCTAATAAGCAACATGAACATCTTATATCCTTTGAAAAGATCTATCAAGGTTACCCTTTGGAATCCTTAGAAAAACAGTCCGTATATAATACTCTGAGCTTAACTCTCTGCCCAGCAGAACCTTTGAAAGCCACTGTTTTAATTGGACTTTGCTTTTTGGATCATATTGTTAAACTCAAAACTTAGCCCTGTTTGCAATTTGTTTCATAAGGTAATTTTCACTAGCTTCACTCTTGCTTAAGAGACTAATGAAAAAATCAGTTAATTAAATGAGCTACTTTTTTCACACATTCTTAGCATCATAGAGCCAAAAACTTGTTTAGTCTAAGAAGTTCACCTAAATTTGAAAATGCTGGAGGCAGTCTTTGGAGGGCACACAATCCCCCATATATTTTATATCTAACATATATTAAACCTTGCTTTACCATAAAAAAAAAGATAAAGAAAAAAAATGCTGAATCATGTGATGTCACTAGCTATATATAGCATTAGTGATAATACTATGGTCTTCGTCCATTAATTTCTGAATGTTAGGCATTTTTTCTTAATTTTTTGAGATTGATAGACGTCCTTGTGTTGGCTCATCTTTGAGGTCTTCCTAACCTTCCTTAAAAAGGTTGTTTCAAACTTAAGAATTATTGGCATTCTGGAACAGGAAAAATCACATAAGTCCACAAAGGAGATAGTTGAAGAGCTTCTGGAAGAAAATTTCCCTAACATTCTGAAAAATGAGAAGCTAAGCATTCAAGAAGCTCAACAAATCCCAAGAAGGATAGATCCCAAAAGAAAATCACCAAGACACATCATAAGCTCTTCAGAATCAAAGACAAGGAGAGAATCCTGAAAGCAGATAGGGAAAAGAGAAGTGTTACATACAAAGGAAAGCAAATCACATTAAGTTCAGATCTCTCAGCAGAAATCATGCAAGCAAGAAGGCAATGGGGAGACTGATATAAAACTCTGAAAGAAAAAAACCTGCTAACCAAGAATCATCTATGCAGCAAAGCTATCAATCAAATACGATGGCGTAATAAAAAACATTCCAGGATAAACAGAAGCTAAGGGATTTT